TAAGCCGGGTCGGGTGCCACACTGGCCGATGCCTTCGAGGTGGTCACAGGCTCGACAACTTCAGGGGTCGACGTGCTGAACGTGCACTCGATGATCAAGTTACCCAGGACTTGTGCCTTAATCGCTAGGCGTGGTTCAAACCAGATGTCATACTCACTAAGATCAATTACCCATTTTGTCAGCCTTTTCGAGACCTCGGGCTTTTGAAGAACTTGCCTTAGAGGTCAATCTGTTAGGACTACCACAGTATGGGCCTGAAAGTACAGGCGCAACTCCAGGCTGCCAATATTAAGGGAAAGACCAGCTTTTCTATGTTGTGATATCTAGTCTCGGCAGCGTACAGGACTTTACTTACATAGTAGATAGGTCGTTGCTCTGTCCACCTCATGAATGAACTACCTCATTACTCGTGGAGAGGTAGAGTTTTAGCTCGTCTCTATGTTCCATCCTAGTTAGCAAGGGTGGCGAACTAAGGTACATCAAGCTTGTCAAATGTGAGTTGACACTCTTTAGTTCACTCGAAGTCTTAGTTCTTTTTTATGGCCTTGAAGAACGAAAGACATCACCCATCTAACTTGGACATAAACCGGTTTAGAGAGGCTATCCGACCTGTTAGCCTTTGTACCTCTTTTATTATTCTAGGAGGTCGCATATCTAGGATGGCCTGAATTTTGTCTGGATTAGCCTTGATACTCATTGGTTTACTATGTACCCGATGAACTTTCCCAACGTGACATCAAAGATGCACTTATTCGGGTTGAGTTTTAGATTAAATTTTTTAAGTATGTTGAAGACATCGGTTAGGTTGACAATTAGAGTTTCATAGGATTTACTCTTCGTGACCATGTTGTCTACGTACACCTTCACTTTGTCACCAATCAAAGGGGCAAAACTTTTTTTTCACAAGGCGCTGATAGGTCACCCCAACGTTCTTTAAGCCGAAGGGCATGACCTTGTAACAAAGGTTCAAAATATCGATACGCCCGATACGCCGGTAGAGGCATATCGGGCAGTATTGGTAGTTTTTTTAGTCTTTTCAAATTTGGTTCAGAGGGGCTGGTTTAAGGTCCGGTCCGTCCACCCCTAAACTAGTCAAAACCCTGATACACCCTCTATAGGGGTGTATTGGGAAGCTCCCGATACGATACATATCAGCTGATACGAGATGATACGTATCAATACTTTGAACCTTGCTTATAACAATAAAGGTCGATTTCAGTCACAAAGGCCGTATTCTCTTGGTCGATAGTATCCTTTGGATTTGGTTATAACCGGAGTATTCGTTCATAATACCGCTCTAAGGGCATGTAGTTTTGGTCGGCCTAGAATGGTGTTGTATGGTGATGCTGTTGCCAACACCAGAAAGTCGTGCTGCAACCCCGTCCTTTTCGATGTGGTTCCTGCTTTCATAGATAGGTTGGTTTGGCCAAGAGCTTGGGTCGCCCCACCATCGTAACCAACTAGGGGCACATTGACTTAGGCTAGATCTTCCCTCCACAATCTCATTTATTCGAAAGCTCCAAGGAACAAGATGTCTTCTGAGCTGCCGGAATCGTCGAGTACCCTTTTTACCTCGTGATCATGTTAATTATGGTACATGCCGATGGGCTGTCATGTTGTTGCATTTGCAAATTGGTGTTGCGATTGCACTACATTAGCTCTCGGAGACACTAGGTACGAGAGCCACAGGGGTCTCAACTATGGGGGCAACTCCATTATCTGAAGGTCGTCAACCCACACGAGAGCCTTGAAAGGCTCGACCCACGAGGGCGATTCCCACGGGAGCTGCAAAGGGCTTGACCCGTAGAGGCAACCTCGTGATTAGGGCTAATGAGGCTTGTTCGGGTTGGTCGTTTTGATTTTTCCCCCTTACGAAGGTTCCTTCGATCTAGGTGCTACTGCTATTATCCTTGGTTGATGCTATTTGGATTCTGAAGTTGAAGAAATGTGAGAACTTGGCTTTGTGTAGCAGTTCCCACCAAGGTTTAAAGTATCAGAAACGTAAGGTGTGTCGGAAAGATAATTTTAAGAGACATATCGATATATGCTTTGGATATGTATGGATACAGACGGAAAATCAAGATACGCATAAATATGTTAAAAAACTCAAATAAATCCTAAAAATATATTAATAACGAAAATTACAAGTTTTATATGATTGAAGTTATTTAAAAGTAAAAAACTGTAATTTAATGGTCTATATAAAATTCGAGATATCATGATGCACTTAGTAACTATTGACAAATGAGGGAATAACTAAAATGTGAAAAAACAAAATAAAATAAAATAAAATGTATATTGATATACATTAGTTTTAAAATAATCAGTATAGTTTATCTTAATATTTATTAATACATAAATTTTAATAATTAATTCTAAAATTTATTGATAAGCATACACTAAGAAAAAGAGAAAATTTACTTAAAAATAAAAATGCATAAACCTATAGTAAGCAAATGGGTGTGGCTTGGTGGTGTACCTCTAGTTGTTAAAACCCTAATGGCTAAGGTTCAAATCTTGTTATTACTAAGTTTGTAGTGTTATACTAACAAAACTAATTTAATGCGAAAAAGGGTTATTAATTAATGAAATTAATGAGAAGAGAATTCTAATTACACGCTAAAATTGAAATTCAAATTTAAAATTATGCATTAAGTACAAGAGTAATTAACTAATTAATGAGAGAAATTGCACTTAAATATAGGAATAAATA